ATCATTGTTGAATCATCGGTAGAGAAGGGAGTGGCTTGAGAGAAAAAATAGCAGAGGCGTATCTTCCCTCCAGTCAGAGTGTCTTAAATGGGATGAAGGAGTGAGTTAAACGGGAAGATGAACGTCTTAGAGATAATATACCTATGGCAAGATTAGTGCTACAGTTGTTCTGGGTCTAATTCCTGGTCAAAGAGAACATAGCAGGTATTATTTTAGAAGGCAGTATAGTGCTCAGAGTAGAATAACTACGATGCCACTGATTGCCCTGACATCCAGATCTAAAGCAGAAACAGGAGTCACAGTGTTAATTTAGCAGTGCATTGCACCCAGGATGTAATCCCATTGACTGCTTTACATGCTCCAGGAATTTTCAAAATCTGAAATGTATTTTCTTTCTTTAAGAGTAATTGCGTGCAGTCATCACCCGAAAACCTCCAAAATATCAAATGTTTGCACAGGTTCATTTGGGTTGAAAAAGGGTAAAAGGGAGAGGGAGAATATAAGCTTAAGGGCGTGCTGGAGGGTGGCTGGGAATGTAGGCAGGAGAGAAACATATTGGTGGACAAGGAGGAAACCTGTGTACAATAGTACAGTGCATGTCTATAACTTATCAGACGGTGGCTGCTCCCTGGCTCAGTTAAACTTGAGGTCACACTGTTGCCCTGAGTAAATACCCAGGAATTGATGCTGTCCCTCAATCCCTCCAAATTGCTTCCTCTTTCTCCCCACTTTCAAATCCCGCCTAAAGACCTTCCTTTTTAATCGTGCTTACAGTCACCTTCCCCCTCCCTCTTCCCCTGTCTTAGAGTCAAACTCCACCACTGTCAAGCACTCTTATGATGCTACCCAATGTGAAAGGTGCTATATAAATGCAAGTTGTTGTTGTGTGGTTACCAGTGAATCCCGATTGCAGCTTAAATGACAAAATAAATAAATCAACATTTGAATAAAAATCGAGGGAATGCAAAACCACCGAATGTAGAAATAATTACTTTGAAAGAACCCAATGCAAACAAACTGAGACAGGGGAAAGGGGAAAATTCAGGTTCAAAACAGATTCAGGTCTCTTGTGACTTTGATGATCCCTTATTGCAAAACTACCAGTGCTTTCCTTAAGTGCCCCATTACAGTCCTTTTAAGTGGAATCAGCAAGTGACTTTATTGTCTTTACATCAACAAATACTGTTTTGAAGTGAATGATTCAAAACATTGAAGCTTATTTCCCTTTCTCTTGTGTATAGCTCAAAGTGAAGGTCCTTCATGGGGGAGAGGGCGATGACACAATTGTAATCAAAGTAATAATATGGGGGAAGATTTATAGATTGCTGCTGTAAGGTGCATTCAGAACGAAGTCCAGCATGCCCAAGCATTTGGGGGTGGGGGCGGGGTGGGAGTGGGTCTAGCATGCCAAACATGTTGATGGGGGGCTTAGAAATCATAACTTTCCAGCACTGCCACTTTGCTCCTCCTCGTGTACATGGGTACACTGAAAACAATATGACAACATTCCCACACGACCTCCTGTATTTTCATGAACAGAGAATGTAAATCTATGTGGTAGGCAATGCAAACAATGAACCATTCAATATACAGTTATATTAAACATACAGTGTGTCAGGCTGCTGTGAACACTTCTGTTCATCAATAGACAGTGGGAAGATATTAGAATGTCTGTCTCTATTTAACTTGCCGGTTAAAAATATAATCCTTGCATTTGATATAGCACATTGTTGAGATGTCTCGAAGCACTTTACAGGTACACTGTAAAGTGTTTGACTGTATTTTTTTAAGTGGGCGAAACACGGTGGCACACAGCAATATTCCACAAACAGCTATGAAGTGAGTGACCGACCAACTTAATTTGGGTGAATGTTGGCTAGAACACCAGGAGAAACTCCCTTCTCTTTTCGAATAGTGCCATAGGATCTTTAACATCCACATGAACAGGCAGCGGGGACCTCAGTTTAAAGCCTTATCCAAAGGACGGCACCTCCAACAATGGAACGCTCCCGAAGGACTGGGCTGGAGTGTCAGTAAAACCTGAAAGTTCATAAGGAGGAAAGGTGGATCCGGTCCAAATAATGAGAGACTGATATATTCTGATTGATTGAAAGATACATTGTTAAATTGACTTATACAACAACAACAAAATTACATTTATAGCGCGCCTTTCACATCGGGAGGACGTATACTGTCATTTTCACATATTATTACAGGTGCAATTCAATACTGGTAATAATTTGTCAGATTTATTATTAAAGCTACATTTTACTTGTCAGAAAAACTGAAATACTTTCACATATAGTTGAAATCCATATGTTGATATTAACAGTGTATATTTATCTCAGCGGTACAACTATCTGCTTTTCAAACTCTATCTGTCGAGATACAAATGTATGCAAATATGACAAGATAAAGATCAAGTAGACATCCGTTTTTGCTTTCTACCATTCTTAATATTTGATAGCTGAGCACATGATCCAGTGCTTCTTGATTCATCTCACGATTGGTGCCACATTTCAGAGTATTACATGATCTATTTTATTGAGTAAAATTGTGATAATAATGATATAGCGAATTTCATATCAGGAGGGTATACCTCAAAGCGCTTCACAGAGTTCATTGTAAAGTGTAGTGACTGTGTATTAGTGGCAGCTAATTTGTCCCACAAACAGCCTGCAATATCCCATAAGACAGCCATAAAGTGAATGATCAATTTTATAAATAATAATCATCTTAGCATTTGATATAGCACCTTATCACATCTCAAAGCAGTTCACAGACTACTGTAAATTGTTTTTCCATCTACAAAGACAAAAGTAAATAACAATATAATAATCCTTGCATTTGATATAGTGTCTTATCACATTATTGAAACGTCTCAAAGTGCTTCACAGTATATACTGCAAAGTGAATTGACTGTATATTTTGTGAGCGAAACGTAGCAGCCAATTGCACCCAGCAGTGTCCCACAAATTGGATTGAGTGACCAATATTTTTATTTTTGAAGGGATTATTACCCCTGGAAAGCAATCTGCCAATCGACTAACAATTGTTCTTATTTACTGCTAGGTAAACAGGGGTGTGTGGAGTAAGGAAATTTGCCAAAGGTTTTGTCCCACCCCAGGAATCAAACCTGGGTCCTCTTGCTTGCAAGAAGAACGCACTAACCACTACTCTATGGGACTCCACATCCTTATTCAAAGGATTGTAGGCCAGGATAGAGGAAAAAACTCCCTTCTCTTTTTAGAATTTTGCCATGGCACCTTTAATGCTCACTGGATTAGGCAATGAGACCTTGGTTTAACATCTCACCCGAAGGAATGCACCTCCAACAGAACAGCTTTCAAACCACACTGGAGTGTCAACCTAAATTATGAGCTCAAATTCTTGAACCTGAAACCACAAACTTCTGACTCAGAGGTGTGAGTGCTGCCGATTGAGAAAGGTGGACACCAGTGATATCAGTAAATGTGAATGAATGAAAGGATATGCTTTTTTATGTATTCAAAATATTGTAACTTCTCCTATATAACCAATCACAGCAACTCATCTACGCGTTCTCTTCACATATGCCCACGTTTCGCCCACAAAGTATAGTCAATTCACTTTACAGTATATTCTGTGAAACGCTTTGAGACGTCTCGCAGATATAAGGCCCTATATCAAATGCAAGGATTATTATTATATACATTCACCTATGTGAACTGTTTGCCTATGTGACTGCACTTTACACTATAGTTTGTGAAGAGCTTTGAGACTTCCTTCTGACGTGAAAAGTACTTTATGAAATGCGGATTACTATTATTAAACAGCTTAGTTTCCTCCACCTTTACACAAATTTAATTCACTTTTGTTTTAAATCCTCTCTTCAAAAGTTGCAAGGCAAAGCTGGGACAGATAGAGAGAGTGGAGTGTGTGTGTGTGTGTGTGTGGGGGGGGGTAGAGCGTGGGGAAAAAAAGGACAACTCGAGCTTTTCTCTTTATTTTTCTGTGCTTTTTTTTAAAAAAAAACATGATTTACATAAAATAGAAATATTTGTTAAAAGTCGCACGAACAGTGATGGCATTATTTTTACCTGGAGGTTTGGGGCCAGGACAGCAGGGGAGAGCGACAACTCCCTTGTCTTTTTACACTAGGAATCTATATATATATATATATATAGTAACAAAAAGTAACATAGCACATCCCTTTATATATATATAATGTATACAAAACAGCCCGCATCTCTCTGTGTGTAAAAAAAACCAGGCTCGTCGCTGCTGAACCCTGCTCTGGTTGAATTGCATTGACAGCGATGCCTGTAAATAGATGCCAAACAATGCCCGGTGTTGCCCTGCCCTGCCCTGTGTGTCCCTGCCCTGCCCTGCGCCGCGCTGCTCTGCTCCAGGCGCCGTTGCCACTGTTTTGGTTGCAAACAGTTACCAGGCGGTTGTTTCCGGTGGGCGCGCGGCCAGACCAGACCAGGCCGGGCCGGGCCGGGGGGGGGGGGAGGGGCGCGCATTGTGACGCACCGGCCTGGCCCCGCCCACTCGCTTTTTTTTGGAGGCGACACATTCATAATTGTTGTTATTGTTGCTCCGCTTCCATGGCAACGGCGGCGGCGGCGGCGGCGGCGCGAGCGAGCGAGCGGGGGGGGGGAGGGGGGGAGGGAGGGAGGAGGGGGCGGGGGAGGGGCGGCCCGCGGGAGGTTCAATAAGGCGGAGCGGCGCGCGCTTCCCGGGACACTCGGCTCTCGCGCTCCGGACTGTGTGTGTGTGTGTGTGTGGGAGGGAGGGAGGCGCTGCCAGTCCCAGTCCAGCGCCGTACACCACTGCCACCGGCACCGGCCTCTCTGCTCCCCTCTCCTGCTGCACGGCCACACGCTCCTCTCCCTGACCACCCAACGCCTTGCCCGAGCCTCTCTGCAAAAGCGCCCACCCGACTCCAAACGTCAAGTCGCCTTCCAAGCTCCTCTCTCTCTCTCTCTCTCTCTCTCCACATATATATATATAGATGTGTGTGTACATATATATATATATATACATATACACTTGAGCTAAATCTGGGAGAAGCCGTCTGTCAACCTTCTTCACTTCACTCACAACGCACAGCATCACTCCCTGCTCCGGCCGTTCCTGGTGCAGGTGTTTCCTGTGAGCGAACTTCGCAATTGGTTCGCACGTTATTGATGAGGTGGGTTTAACTCGCGGATTGGTGCGCTCCCGTCCTTCTTTATCCATAAATATGGCATTAGTTCTCGGGTGGTTCACCGAGTCCTTCTCGGGATGCAAATCGAAAAAAGTAAAGGGTGACTTTTATACATATAGAGTGGAGCAGAAGAAGAGTCAGAGGCTGACTTGTTGACTTGTGCGTTTGGTTTCCTCTCCTCCTCTCCCTCTCTCTTCCCCCTCTCCCCCTCCACCCTCCCCTCTCCCCTCTCCCCCGGTGCTTGTAGGCGGCCAACAGAGTGGGTTCGACATGGCTCTGTCCGGGACGGTGCTCCCGTCCATCACCACGTTCACCACCAACACGAGTGAGAAAAGCGTGGAGAAATCCACGGGACAGACGTTCGGAAGCAACGTAAGGATCCGGAGAAATATTACTTCTCTGATGGTTTAAGTCTGGTGTCTCTTTGGTAAAGTTGCTCCACTGACTGCGACCCCGAAGCTTTTCTGTGTGTGTGTTTTTTTTTGGTTTAAAAAAAAATAGGTGTTCTGGGTGTGACGGACTCGATCCCTATCATAGGAGTCTTTTGTGTAATCCCCTCCTCCGAAAGTTCCACTTTCTGGAACTTTTGCATTTGTTTCAAACTCATTTCTTTCTCACTTGAGAGGATTTTGTGTGGAATGGTTACGGCTTCTGGGAATGTGTTGCTGTGCACAATAGGGACCGTTCAGAAACGCAGAGAACTCTTCCACTCGCAGTGCAATGTTTGTGTTGCAATCGATCCAATGCAGTATATAAAGAGGCGTTTTAGTGGAATGACTATTACTTGTAGAGGCAACTTCTCTGATTATTATATTCTACTTTCGGGAGTTGGGTTTCAACGTATTCCTCGCGGCTGCTTTTGCAGAGGGGTAGTGTTTTAATGTGTGTGTGTGTGCGTGTGTAAAAAAAAAACAACCCCTTTTTTCTTTAACAGCTCCAAAATAAACCTGTCACTACATTTTGCAGAGATGGGGAGATGAGATGGCACATTTAAGGAGGACTATGGAAATGGACAGTCACCATTCTGGATTTAGAAAGGAGGACGAGGAGTTGAGCGAACTTTTAGACTTGGATTTTATTTTATCCAACACCATGAGTTCGGAGCCGATGCCCAGCGCTGCGAGCAACTTCAGTTACCCCACACCGAGCGCACCTGGACATGCCAACGAGATGTACCAAAGGGACTCTTGTGCAAACTACAACCTAACGGACATCAGCGAGGCCCCGCTTCCCGGCGGCAGCTTTGTCGCTGAGCTTCTCAGACCAGACTTGGATCCCAGTTACTGCCATCTCAGTAGCCTCCACGGCAAGTTTGTGCTCAGGACCGCGACCGACGCGCCGGACTACAGCCAACCCCTGAGCGTCGCCAAGCCCGGCTCTGGCATGGCGGGCGCTGCAGCTCTGGCCCAGGCGGGGCACGTCCATCGGATGTGCCAGAAGATCAAGCTGGAGCCCGGGCTCAGCGCCTCCTGCTCCGGCTCGGGGAGAGCGGGGGACACCCGCGTCCCCGGGAGCGGCCAGAGACACCCGTGCAGAGGAGCAGCGAGGCACCAGCAGCAGCAACACCAGCAGCAACACCAGCAGCAGGAGTTCCCCAGGAGGGTCACCTCGCCCATGGCTGCGAGAGAGATGATCAGCAACGAGTGTCTGACTGCACCTCGCATCCTGGCTCACCAAGGACCGGCCCAGGCCGTGCCACTCCAGCCAGGCTTCCCCCCTCCTGCCGGCAGCTTTGCACACTATCAGGGACAGCCTGCGATGCAGTATCAAGGTCAGTCTTATCTCAGTCTCTTTTTGGTGAGGAGGCATTAAAACTTTCAGTGTTCGGTTCAAGGGGCAATGCTGACCACCCCCCCCCCCCCCCCCCCCCACCCCTTCTGCTTCACCTTTAGAGCTCATCTCGCCGGGGTACACACAGCAAGAGGAGATCAAACCCAAGAGAGGACGAAGGTCCTGGCCCAGGAAAAGGATAGCAATTCACATGTGCGAATATACGGGCTGTGGGAAAACTTACACCAAAAGCTCACACCTCAAAGCTCACCTCCGGACGCACACAGGTACAGTACAGCGCACTCGCTGCCTTGCCCAAGGCTTTTCAAATGTCTCAGTTTGCAAACTGATCTCTTTTGTACGGATGTACTGTTGTCGTCGTTGTTCTCACGAGTGCCTCTGGCCTCTCCTTTGCTGCACTTCTTTGCAGTCACTTCCTGTAAAGTATGAGCTTTACAGTGAGCTGACACTGTCAGTTCAGGTAGTTCGTTGCAATTGATAGATAGGGTTGTAGTTCGTCTGATTGGGATGATATACTTTCCCTTTTTCTCAACCTTTATTTTCTCTTTCCCTCCTCCCCTCATTCACGATAAAGCAAGAGATATTTATGACATCGACGAGTATGTAGGCGGATCTGCGGCTTTGTATTATAGCAGTAGTAAAGCAGCAGCTTCAGAATTCACACACTTTGGACAAAAGTGCACTTTTTTATGGTGAATTTACCCAGTTATAATAATACTAATAAACTATTATCCCCTTAACCGTGCGGACATAGACCCAGAGTGCTGCGTCTTTCAGCAGAAACCTTTAATAACCTTTAAAAAAAACATTTCAACACCCTGCAACCAGTGATCCGAGTAACGAGGCGTTTAAAATCTGTTTTCCTATTGCCATTTGGGAAAGTTGCTGGTTGTCAAGTGATGCCAGGGCGTGGACATATACATACACGTCCTCGCAGGCAAGATCTATCCCTGCAAAATATTGTTTTAAATTTTTTTTTTAAAAAAATCTCCAGAGTAGGTGACTGTCAATGTGTGGAAAAAACAACACATCGTAATTTTTTTTAAAAAAAGCGAGACTGGTCTCCAGCGTGTGCAGATTACTGTCAGCTTCCTTCAGGTCTGAGGTTTGTGCGCACACACTGGAGACATTTAGCAATGGGACCCCGAATCAAGTGGTTTTGCATGTTTGCAGTATTTTTGCATTGCGTTTGTTCAGGATACACGAGGTTTTTGAGTGTGGCTTAAAATATATGCAAATATTGGGCAATTTCAGGTGCATTTTCTTTCGGATGAGACGTTAAATCGAGGTCCCGTCTGCCCGTTTTCCATTGTAAGAGCGAAGGCAGTTCGTCCTGATGTTCTGGCAAACAATCCTCTCTCTATCCAGATTAATTGGCTGTTTGTGAGATCTTTCTGTCGGGCATAACATTACTGTTCTGTTTGCCTCCAATGACAGTAGGCAGTTTTTTGGGGAAGCAAGTTGAGGTACTTCAACTCATAGGGTACTTAAAAATATACAAGTCTTTAAATTCAGAACCAAGCTTGTAGGGATGCAAAACTTCAGGTGACAGGGGTGTTCAGCTTGATGTGAAATAAGTGAAAGATTCTTTCTGTATTGCTGTCATGGTTTTTGTCCAAACTTTTCATGTTTTTTTTTCCTGTCTGCAAATAGACAGATCTGATATAAGGGGTGTCTCTATGTTTCAGGTGAGAAGCCATATCACTGCGATTGGGAAGGTTGTGGTTGGAAGTTTGCTCGCTCTGATGAGCTGACTCGTCACTACAGAAAGCACACCGGTCACCGTCCCTTCCAGTGTCAAAAGTGTGACAGAGCATTTTCCAGATCTGATCACTTGGCTCTGCACATGAAACGGCACTTGTAAAAACAGGCGAGAAACTCCTCCAAGCCTTCAGCATGTAAATAGAATGACAGCTTTACTGCCTTCCAATCTACCGGGGCACGTAAAGGACATTGATCTGCCCACCCATTTTTGTTAATCATGTCTCATAAATATAATAGTCTGAAAGTGGAATCTCATCGGTGGAGCAACGGATTAAAAACTTCAAGACTCACTGAAATGGGCTTGAGCGGGTGCTTTCTGTCTGATCAGATATCATTGAATGACTGGAAACTGGGAATCTTGGTAAAGCAGGCTCTTTGGAATTATAGATTTTTTTTTAAGCTCTGACTATTTTCAGTTCCATGTGGATAACCAGCTGGTGACTATTTCAGTTCAAAAGACTTTTTATTTTCCTATAAGGGAAGTCAGGTACAGAAATGCTTTTATAAAGGCCCTGATGTGATGGTGCTCGGTAACTTTCTTTCAGAGGTACAAAAACTGATATGAAAACTATGCAACAATCCTGCCACTGGATAAGAAGATATACAAATAACTTCAGGTCTACGGTGTTGCCAAAGGTCAGGTAAACGTTTCTCGTTCACACAGAATAAATATGACACTGTGGTCTCATTGTGCAATAATTATTTTATTCTATTCTATGCTTTAACGCCGAACAAATTGCATTTCTATATTGTATGCAACATCATATTTTATCTAATGTACATTTATGACATTAGTTTTGTACATTTGTAAATAAGGAGTAAACATTTACTGTGGTTTGGATTTTGCATATAATGTTTTTGAAAAGAAGAAAAAGTAATAAACTTAAAATGTCCAGATCTTGAATTGTGGAGTGGAAATGTTTTTCGCCCTTTGCTCAACAAAAGGATTCTATGCATAAAGTACTAATAGTTTATTCTAACGTGGCATGAAAATCTAAGCATTCTCTGATATTCCTCTGTCAGCCTTCAAATCCAGATACCAATTCTGAACAGATCATGTAGTATGGAAATAAGAGACATTTCTCTGACACTCTCTTCTATCACTGTATTACTTTGGGGAACACATTTTTAAAAAAAAGTAAGTAACGTTTACATTGCTTTATACTGCATTCAGTGATGCACACTATAGTGTGTTTTAACTACAGTATTGTATCTTTAGTGTTGAGATCATTTTAGTGAATAGAACAAGGTTTGTTGTCATGGTTTATGATACTGACATAACTACCCGAGCCATTACTGGCTTGGGACATGCTCCAGACTGTTTTGTTGCATGTAGAAACTATATGGTAGGGAACAGGGGAATACCTACTTTATTTTGTGAGTAAGGAAGATCTGATAACAAGTGTTCAAATTCTGAAAATCGTCCTCATGAGTAAGAACAGGACTCCAGTGTTTCCCCCAAACCCCTTGTGGGTTCTGTTTTTGTGAGATGCAGGATTTTAAAAATGCATTCATTCAAGGACTGCCTTGACCTCAAAGTACTTTTTACCAGTGAGTCATTGAGCCAGTGTGTGAATATTTTGATTAGCAACATTATATAAATAATGGGAGATATGTTAGTATTTTAACATTCAGCATCAACAGCTGGAAGGATTCTCCATAAAGTTTTTTTTAAAAGGGGGCTTGGAAATTGCAATTAGAACTTTAAGCACGCTCTGATATTCCTTTGTCAGTCATTCAAATAAATGCAGATACCAATTTTGATCATGTAGTATGAAAACAAGAATCATCTCTCTCTGCCACTTTCTATCACTGTACTACTTTGGGGAAGTATGTTGCAAATGTAAAATCTTCTTGTACAGCTGATTTATACCCATGGTGAGGGCATGGGGCAGAAGTTATTTAAAATGGATTTTTACATTTTGAGTATTATGTTTGGAATTCAATATGTACAATGAGGATTTAAATAATAATTTGGGCACTCAATGCACGACAGTTTATGGGACACCTCTGTGTGCAAATGGCTGCCATGTTTCACCCACAAAATATACAATCAATTCACTGTATAGTATATTCTGTGAAGTACTTTGAGATGTCTCAAAGACGTGATAAGGTGGTTTATCAAATGCAAGGATTATTGTTCTTATTATTTATTACATAGAAAATAACAAATCGCATTATGCCCTAAATCTTCTTTAATGTGCAAAGATATTTGAGGTTAGGTGCACCACGGCATTGGTCTCTTGGGAATGTGCTAGGAGTTAAAGTTTTATAGTAAGATGCAGCATTTATTAATTGCCATTGTCATTTTGCTTTATTGAAAAATCTTCTTGGTTGTAATACAGTACCTTACATTTCCTTTTCATGTGGCAGAATATGGAGTGAATTATATTTATCATAATTTTCTATGTAGTAGGAGGAGGAGTGAATTTCAAAAGTTGCTTTGTGATGTGGAAGTTCTGGAAGGTGTCTCCGTCTACGGTTTTGTCCTGTGAAGATCAAGTTAGGAATTTGGTGGGAAGGAAGAAGCTGATGTCACGACATTCCGTGAGGAAGATCAATGACATCTTGAGCACAAGGGGAAGCTATAGCTGCTGAGAAGAACGTGATGTGTGCTATTGAGGAAATATGACCGAAGACTGAATCGCACTCAGACTCAGTAGGCCTTTCCTTTAATTAGAGTGAGATAATACTTTGGTTCAGGTTTGTTTTGTTTTTTACAACGTTCGGGCAATTAAAACATTTGCATTATAATCCACTGTATGGATCAGTGGAAATTTTTTATTTGGGAGAATTTGTTTTGAAATGCAGGCTGATGTTAAAAAAAAAAAATTGGTTTCTTAAAGCGTAGAGCAATGGATGATTTAATACTAATCCTTGCATTTGATATAGCGCTTTTCACGTCGGGAGGACGTCCCAAAGCGCTTCACAGAACACACTGTCAAGTGAATTGACTGTATATTTGTGGGCGAACGCGGCAGCCAATTGTGCACAGCAATGTCCCACAAACATTCGTAGATTGAAAATGACCAATTTATTATTGTTTTTTGTTTTGGAGGGATTTGGCAACAACTTACAATATTTCTCTGTGTTGTGCATGTGAGTTTCGTGCTCCTGTTATGAGACTGGATCCACTGTGAACAACAGCTCCAGAGTACAGGAATATACTACTGTGTAGCCTATTCTAGTTGTACCCAATTTTTAATAGTGGTCTGTATTAGTCATACACTAAAGGAATAAATACTGGACTTGAGGCATATTCTGGAACAAGATTTGCATCAGTGACAAGTAAGAAAATGGTTCTTGTAGTGGAGAGAAGTTCCAAATTAGCTTTTTAGTGTGTATTGGGTTATTCTTCATGTTCACCTTCCATTTTTTTTAAATGAACACTTAATTGCAATAACTCCCCACTATCAACAATTTGACAGGGCATAGGATTGCTGCTTATATTTTATTTCACAAATGAGAACTATCTAAAACCAGAACATATGCTTGTACTCAACATAAATCACTGATGAGAACAGTAGCGTTTCTTCTGCAGCTGTTTATAGTGGTTGTCCATCTGTGCCTCTTCTATAGTTGTAGTGTTGGCAAAACATAAACTAAAGAAATAATTACACAAACTAAATATTTGTGCTGGGAGCGGAGGGGGTAAGAGGTTCAAAAATGTATTTATAAAGTCTAATTTTGTTTCACACGTTTTAATGATTTTTCTTTAAAGTAATTTTTTTACGATGTTCTCACCATTTTTTCTTAAGTTTAAACCGTTCTAAATTTGATCTTAAAAACAAATTCAGAGAAGTTCAGAGAGTCCTATACGGTTGAAAGCTATCAGATAGAGGCATTCTTTAAGCAAGCTTATACTATTGGCTGTGTCTGAAGTACAAACAGTTTTTATTAACAATATAATGGAATATGTACAGTTTTTTTAACACTTAAGATCTGGAAAGTTTATGTCCTTATCTGTTCTCTTTAATGTCCAAATACAAGGATGATCTTCCTGTCATTTTGAATTTCTGGTATTAGCAGTACATCACAATGGATATATGATATTTGACGTTCATTCAGCTTCATTACAAATGACTACCAGACTTGTGTGTTTATTAGGCCCACATGTAACGTGTACTATTTTCATGAATGGAGACAAATGGGGAATTTGTATCTATTATATGAAAGCAACAGATGGTTGAAATGAATCGGATGTTTATGGGGCCCTGAGCTAGTTTGTCTATAAAGCATTCACACATCTACTGGATTTAAATTGAGTAAATCCATAAGTCTCTTGGCAAGAAAGACTCATTTTTATTTAATTCATCTATCTTCTTTGTAATTGACACAAAAATTGTCTAACTATAAGAATTGAATCCTAAACCAGAAAATAAATATACTCTTGGGATTGACAAGAAGCTGAACAGAGCAGTAGCAAGGTCTCAAAGAAACCAAGGGAAAATAGGATTCAGTGAGAAACCAGTAAAATAAATTAATGGCAGAAGACAAAACAGGAAAGTAACTTACTTTGTTTAGTTGATGAGTAGGATTTTTACAGACTCTGGATCCTGTACACATTTGCAGTTTATCCCAAAGCAGCAGTACTCCAGGTGCATAATAAGGCAACATTTGTGGAGGAAACTTATTTAATGATCGAGCATTCACTTGCTTACTTTTTATATAAGTTGCAGATCTTTCTATTTCTCATCATGTTTAAAGAGATGTACTATGAGTGCTAATATAGAGCTTGGTTTCCAATGTGCCAATCCAGTCTACAGTTTCTATCTTCCATGACTAAAGTTTGGCTCAGGTGCTTGTGTAGCCGATTAGTTGTGTATTTATTGTAAGACGCCACCAAATTATGTTATTGGGACGTTTGTTTAATGCTGGTATTCTGATTCACTATTTCCATTTCCTACTGAATTTACTGATGTAGAAGTTGAGAAAAAAGTTAATTGAATATATTTTCTTAAGGTCAACAGTTAATGTTTTAATGTTACCACAGTATACAGTAATTGATCCTACACCAACTCAGCAATACCTAATCCATCTCCAGTCTCTAAAAGAATTTCCAGATTTTTATTATTGGTGGTTTTTAACCTCTGTAACTGATTCAGTTACATTTTATTTCCTGGAAGCAAATAACGTATGAGAGAGACTCTTAAAGCAGCTCACAGGTTAAATTCACACATAATTTTTGTGACTTTTGTTTTGGTTTTAGTTCCAATTCAGGAGAGGTCTTTATGTTATTCATAGATTACAATCTGAACCTTGTCTGTTAAAATCAACTATATATGTTCCTTTCTTCCTTTGTATTGAGAAACCTAAAGAAAGCGCATTCTGCAGAATACCACCAGAAAGAATAAGAGTAAAGATATGGTAAATTAAGCATTGTAGTTTTAAATGTCTTACGTTGTAGGAGGAAAGGAAGGCTGAGGGAGATTTGTAGTTCCAGTTCTGAGTTTGTAGAGTGAGGTTTGGTTTCAATGTTGTGAGGGTGCAGGAGTAGGCAGAGTATGTCAGATACTAACATCTTTAATCTAAATTCCACCTTGGGGTTCAGGGAGGGAGTGACCCACACATTTTGCCGAATATAGTGGTAACATTCAATGAGAGTGCAAACTATGCTATAATGTGTATGGATTCTATAATGGGTCATTCCCTATTATGTTGCCTGGTTTCCAAAGGACATTCTTAAATGGTATTATGTGTAACTATATTTCGCAATCTTCTTAGATTTACACTTTCTGTAGATGATAAATTGATCGGTTGTGGACTGGTTCACTTTGCTGTATTTTACAAAAAACATGATGTGGAATTACTATAATCAAATCAATTCAAACTGTTCAAAAAGTAACAGTTTTTCCAACAATGAGACTTCATGATCATTATTACATTTGATGTTTC